ATAATAATAATAATAATAATAATAATAATAATAATAATAATAATAATTAACCAGGACTCTCAGAATCAAAACAGGCTTGTTGCTTACCCAGTGAGAAAATCATCAAAATTCAACAAACTAGTGGTACATATCATTTTTAAGCTTTTGAGATGGAGATTTTGAAAATAAATGTCTCGGTATGTAAAAATTCCTCATTGTGACTCACTTTATAAGCACAGGTTAGGGGTTGAACGAGTATATAATTTTTAAACTCGACATTAACATAATAAAACCCGAGTAGAACTCGAGTATTTGATGACGTCATAGATCTCAAGATACAAAAATAAATAAATAAATACAACCGCAATAAAAGGTAATTTACAAATAAAAAGACCAACAAAACATTGAGAGCGTATATTATGCTCCTACCATTTCTCATACTGCAAATAAGTCACAGGAAAAACTAAACTATTAGTTATTATTATTAAACTGCAAACGTGAAGAAACATGCAGCACGTCAGAAAGGAAACTTAAAACAGTAGATGGGCGGTGGATTGGACCCGGTGTTACACCATACTCTGTGACCTGCGACAGTGCAACACCGCCCCCTACGGTCATAGTGGTCACTACGGATACTCGACGTAACATTTTTAACCTCGATAGAGGTCCTAGCAATCGATGTGTAGATTACTCGAGTACTCTGTTAATGCCCTAGCACAGGTTACATATTTGTTTGTGCTGTGAAAAAAAATCTCAACTGCTCATTTTTATAGCAACAAGATAATGTACAAACTCCTCACACTAGGACTAAGCTCCTCCATTTGCAACTGTGTCCTGGACTTCTTAACCAACAGACCGAAGTCTGAGAGGATCCACAACTTCTCCTCCTCCACCATAACCCTCAGCACTGGCTCCCCTCAGGGATGTGTGTTGAGCCCTCTCATGTTCACTCTGCTCACGTATGACTGTGTGCCACCTACCCATCCAGACTGTCATATTGTAAAGTTTGCAGATGATACAGTGGTGGTTGGATGCATCGCAAACAACAATGAGTCCAGCTACAGGCAGGAAGTGAAACACCTGGAGAGCTGGTGCAGGAAGAATAACCTCCACATCAGTGTGAAGACGACGAAGGAGATGGTCGTGGATTCCCCCCCACCCCCGAACATGAGAGGATCTGCAGTGGACGTGGTCTCCAGCTGCAAGTACTTGGGTGTGCACCTGAATGACAACCTCAGCTGGGGCAACAACACTTCCAGCCTGATCAAGAAATCACATCAGAGACCATTTCCTCAGGCGGCTGAGACGAGCTGGTCTGGGAGGCTCAGTCCTCACCTCCTTCTACAGGTGTGCAGTGGAGAGCATCCTGTGCTCCAGCATCAACGTGTGGCATGGAGGCTGCACAGCTGCAGAAAGAAAAGCTTTGCAGAGAGTGGTGAAGGCTGCACAGAAGACCGTTGGAGACAGCCTCCCCACCATCACAGACATCTACACCTCTAGATGCAGGAAGAGGGCCACCTGCATCATGAAGGACCCCACTCACCCAGCACACACACTTTTTGCCCCGCTCCTCTCAGCCAGGAGGTTGAGGAGCATTAAGTGTAGAACCACTAGACTGAGGAACAGCTTCTACCCTGAGGCTATTAAGACTCATAAATCGCTAATCACAAAAGTCACTGTAATGCCACTTTAATTGGTGATATGTCACTTTATCTGTGCTGCTGATCTCTTCCCTTTAAGCTGATATATTCATCCCATCTGCTCACTACAGACTCATGTTCAGGCTGCTATTTAATATACCATATTATATTACATTATTAGTGTGTAGCATATCTTAGATCATTGTGTACGGTTTCTTTTTTATACTTTATATTTTTGCTTTATTTGTGTGTAACTGGGACCTTGAGTACACAGTTTTGCTCTACCTCAAGTACCACATGTTATCCCCTCATTAATGTAATTTACTCACATGATGAACTTATTACTGTCTTTGAACAAAAGGCAGCACAGTGGGACTAATTAAAATGTGGATCTGATTAGCTTAGCTTCATGGTTGCTAACAGCTGTGCTAAATAAACAAACCCGACTCCAATCGCTGTTTACGTAGATTCTTGGGGGTGGACAACGCTCAAAAATTTTCAGCCATTATATCAGTTATCGGCGGTCACCTAACACTCCCAATACTGGTATCGGCAACAGCCAAAATTTCCATATTGGTCGGGCTTTAGTCTAAACTATGGGTTCAATAATGAGCACCTACCTTTCCGTGGTTGGTCTTCATGTGAGACACGTAGGACTCTCTCTCAGCAAACCACTGTAGACATTCGCCACATGTCCAGCCACTGGGCTTTGTGCGAGATCTGCCATCTTGTTCTGGCCTTTTTCTGGAAGCATCTGTGTGTTTACGAGTGTCCTGACCCCTCTGTTGTGGATCAGAATGAGAATCTGAATAACACTCAGTCTTGTCGTCTTCTTTGGTGTCTTTTTCTGTCTCAGCAGTCACGTTTCCTGCATGTACACCCTGCAAAACATGGGAAAATGGGAAAACATTAAAAAGTTTAACACCATCAGATCCTTTACTTCATGCTAAGAACTCATTAACAAAGAACTTAATGCCAGATGCACAATTTTATAGATATAAAACCGAGGAAACGGTTGGTGGGTTTTTCCATCAAGCTGTTGTTTTAAAGAAGTTAAACTATAATTTCATAAAAACTGTATATTTCATAAAAAAATAAACACATGGCTAACCTTGAAGTGATGCACTAACAGTCGCTTTTGTGGAAAGACTGAATTGCATTCTGGACATTTAAACACACAGGTCACTCGCTTGTTGGCATTTTGAAGGAAATGTTGAAAAAACAGCTGCTTTTTCTTGAAAACAGCCTCACACGAACACTTAAACACCAACCTGAAAAAAAAAAGTTCATTCTAACAGCCTTAAAAGAATCGGTGCAACTTTAACAATCCAATCACATAACATGAACTCACAGGGGCGACTGTTTGTTATCGTCGTGTTTGTTTTTTAAATGTACTTCACAGCTGTCAGAGGTCTTGAATGCAACTGGACAGACGCAGCATTTGTAAAAGACTTCACAGTGTTTCTCGTCGATGTGAGTCTTTTGTCCTTGTAGGGTCCTGAACACCATATCACAGTGAAGACATCTGGAAATAAAAGAAAACAAAACACCACTCTACTTTAACATCGCCCTGCACATACAGAGACATTTTCTGGCCTGAGACATTTCCTTAATTGCTTACTTGAACCAAGCCTTGCGGGCATAATGCAGACAGTTTTCTCTGACGTGCTTCTGTATGTCTGCAGACCGACTTAGGCCACCACACTCAGGACAGCAGTAAGGGGACTTGTGAGCATGAATGCGCTGGTGAGCTCTGAAGCTACACTTGTTGGGTAACAGCATTGAGCATACTTTACAAATCTGTTGTGATTAAAACAAGCAGAAAATGTGAAATATGGCAACATGGATGACAGTAATTAGTTGCAGCATCGTCTACCGGTAATAGTCAGATTAGAAGCATGTGAACATTTACTGTGTCTCTAAAACCTTATAGCTTTTTAATTTATTTTCCCAACATAAGTCAAATGTTCAAAGCATGAATAAATACAGAAAAGGGAGCCTTTTTGTTGCACCTGGCTTCATATTCTATTAGGAAAATTGATAGGCATTAATTTTCTATTAAATCAGTAAATCACGTCATACAGCTGCCAGAAATGTATAAATATAAAGCTCTGACAGGGAAAATAAACAACTGGTGTTTTTTTAAATAATTTAGCAACTTGAATATTTACTCACCAGCCCTTCCACAACCTCTGATGACTTTTGGTAGTGACCTGCAAGTGCTTTGTAGTCTGGTAACTGCTTGTTACACTCCAGACAACAAAGTCTGTTGCGAATTACTTTATCTGGATACAAGGGCAGGACTGGTTCACTTTTAGGTGAGAGTAAAGGTGGACCTGCTGGAACCAGCTCCGCACTCAGAGGTACAAACATCTGCTCCTCAGATATGGGTCTCAAATGGAGCTGCGTGCACTGCATTACCGTGCCGTTGTTTTTGTGCTCCCGTGCATGTGCCAACAAGGCACATTTGTTGAAGAAAACCAAGGTCTTTGCACAGTGTGTACACCCCACTTCGATTTGAACGCTCCTTCTGTTGTAATGATAAGCAAGGCTTCTCTCAATGCCAAATGAGTCTCCGCACTCGAGGCAGCAGTATCCGTGTGATGGAAGGTTGATGTTGCTCTCTGGAGGGGGGCTCAGGTTGGGCACATATGTAGGCACTGGGTTGGTACTGTTCAACAGTCTGTTTAAGGTTCCTGCAGCTGTGCTTGGAGGAAATGAATGTGGATAAGGGTTTGCTGTTTTGACCTGGTGCACCAGCGGGACCGAACTGCACACTGTGGAGGAAAGTATGTGTGAATTCTGCTGATGAGAGGTGGGCCTTGCAGCTACTGAAGCAGCAACACTGTGAGGAACCAGGTTTAGACTTGCCAAGTGCATTGCTTGAGGAAGAAAGCTTGTGTTAGATGTTTGAGCTGTTGTAGTTGACGCTTTTCTTGAATTATGCACCTGATGTGCACCAGATCTTTTGACGGAACGACTAGCGTCAAGAAATGTTTCAGTGTTCCTTGATTTTTCCTCAGACTTTCTGTGTAATACTTTTGGCAAAGTTGTGCTAGTGGATTTACCTTTATTTTGTATCCCAACAACACCATCAACAGTCTGAGGCTGATGAGGAGAAGCGTTGCAGTAAGAATCCTCACTAATTATACTCTGGGACGGCGAGGATTCATAAGCATGAACTTCATCCGTTTCCGAGTCTGGCAGTACACTGGTAACTGTGCGCTTTATCTGCCCAGATGTTGTTTTAATTGTCTTGATTCTGACCCTGGGTATGGCTGGAGGCGACCCAGATGTGACTGCAGGAGATGCTTTACCACTGCTATCACTGCAGATGCTCACAGGGCTATCAGAAGGTTTTACTAACCGTTTTACTGCTTCAAGTGGACTTCTGGGGCTTTTGGGGGACATTGTTACTTTGTGGCTAACTTTAATACAGTCATTCTGCATTGCTGATGACTCTCTAGGATTAGTCTGCTCAACAGGCTCTTTTCTAGCATTTAGAGCAACCAGAGCCTCAAGACATGAGGACAATTTGGGTGTCTGAAAGTTGACAGGTGAATAAGAGCCAGTTGTGTCCACTGTGCTTTCTGAATTGCAATTGTTTTCACTGCAATCCGGGTTAATGCTTAAAGGGGGAAATGCACTGTGTACTTTGGGGGATCGTTCTGTTTTATTACTAATGTCACTAACAGAAAGCTCCTCATGTCCACCATTTTTTGTTCTGCCTTCTTCTGTGTTCTTGGGAGAGTTATCAAACATGCAAAGGTCTAATTTATTTTGATTGTCTGGGACTAAAGGGTCTTCTAAAAGTGGAGCTTCTGAAAAACAAGAGCTTACTTCTTTCAAAACAATTTCCCTCCCACTACACAGAGCCTCTTTACATGCAGGACTTGAAACGGGGCTGAAATGTGATGGTGAAGGGGAAAATATTGCCTTGTCGTCACTTTTTTGTTGCACAAGAGTTTTTTCGGGAGCCTCTCTTGAACTCTCCCCATTTAAAGCACACTGAAAAGAGTTGGAAAAGTCGCTGTTGGTCGGCGCCACGGGGTCAATATCCTGTCCATTGAATCCATTCTGCAATGCTTGTCCTGAAGGAAGCTCGTCACCAAAACTTTCCAGTGACTCTTGCCGACTTATGCTTTTCACTATAACACTAACAAGAGGTGTGTCTGCAGTTGTGACAGATTGGTTATTAAGCAAGCTGTCATCCAAACACATCCCTGTGTGTTTTAGCTGATTTTCTGTCTCCTCATGGTTGCCCTGGATGGGTTCTTTAGCATCAAGTCCGGTGGCATCTGGGATATCAAAGGCTGCCAGAAGATCATCAAAATCTGGGGTTTTCATGTCACCCATGGCTGCACATTCTCACAAACCTACAAAAACATTTCAAGTTGGTTTATGTGGCTCCGTTTATACCTCTTTTACAATTTCACGCAGATCTCTATTAAAGAACTTAAAATAGCAGCAGGTGAATAACTATAGTTAGTAAGCGTCCACAGTGCTATTAGCTTTAGCTAAAAAGGCTAAGCTATACGTCAGTTTGTGCTCTGCGTTTCTGCATACGTTTTTATTTTGCAGCAAAACAAGCACAAACACAAAGCATGAGCAATTTGAGATGTACAAGACGCTTTTAAGTTTCTAGCATCGTTAAGCATTGACCTAAAAGGCTGTCTGAGAGTTTCTAGCCACTAGAAACTCTACTCTTCCTAGCTACTAGACCAGCTAACAGAAAAGCAACATGCTACCGCACAAATAATTAAACTGTCTTCTCAAAGTTATTAAATACAGAAGCACATAAAGTTCTTACCATTTGTTCCCAGTGTGATAACTGTCAAACACTTGAGCTAAGTGGTTATTTAATTGTGGGCGCTAAGTGCTCACCAGGCTGTTTTGCCGTTACAAAGCTAACCTGAGCTAACGGGGCTAACATCAACTTGATTTTCCTCTTTCTGTATTGGGTTATTCGTGCCCTCTGCGCAGTCTGACAGGCTCATGGACGTCTACCCTACTTCAAATAATTTACTGTTTCCCTTCTTTGTAATTCTCTAACAGAATTATTGTCATAACTTGTGCCACCTGTTAGGCATTCAAGATTAATTACATTTTGTTTAATGTTTATAAAATGTGAAACCTGGCTACAATTACCCTAAAATCCAGTGCCTTTTTCTGTGCCTTTCACGTTTTGTGAGCTTCTAAATTCAATTTTAGTATTTTCCTAACCGAAGCTAGTCAATTCTAGAAAATCAAACAAACAGACAAGACAAAAGTATGCATTTTGAAAAAGCAAATCATTTGACTCGTTTTACTTAGTGGAAGTTTCAAAGAAAAGTAAAATAAAATTAGACACTCAGAGTGTCCATTTCCTCTTTATTTTTATCCCTTTGCTGCAGTCACTGTCTGTTGTCACTTTATAATCGCAGTGCAGTTAAATACCTTAGCAAGTGCATTATATTACTAAGCATAAGAGACAATAGCACATCATAAGCAACATTATTACCTTTAATTTGTGTTGATATTGAACTGGTGACATAAAAAGTACCTAGTGCGCATAAAGCATACTTTTCTGATGAATAACTGTCACAACATTTTAATGTTCTTTTTAGATCTCATCCAAACTTTCCAGTGATGTTTGTATTTCTATTTTTTAATCATACAGTAATTATCATACTGTATGAATAAACTGCTTCATTAGTTAAACACACATTTTCCTTAAGTCTGCTCATGAAATTATAAACAAACATATTAAAGTTGTGCAAAAATTATAACCTTAGTTAGGAGATTAGTTTAAAACCTATTTTAAATAAAAAAAAGAAGAAAAAAAAAGAAAAAGGTAACAGAGAAGCCATTCTGGTGTCCAAATACGATTTAAGAAAATACCTTTTTTCTCGATCATTTGATTTCTATTATTTTGAGTCTTGTAATATTTGCCTAAAAATATCCACCTGGCTTACTCTATGTCTTGTTTACCCTACTATAAATGCTGTGTCTCTGGTTTATATATATATTTAAATATATTAAAAAGTTGCTCATTCTATTTTAGCTGTGAACTACTTTTTTTTTCATTCATTCACAGTTTAAAATAAACATGTCACATGTTAACATAAACAAAAGTTCTGAATGAAAAGGAGTAGTTTGAAGAAAAAAAAATCTTATACAGTCTACCTCTTCTCCCAAATGTCAATCTACTACACCACAATTCAATTCAATTCAATTCAATTCAAAAATACTTTATTAATCCCAGAGGGAAATTAAGTGTTGTCGTAGCTCATCTTCCTGGTTTTATTCAAAAGTTGTTAGATGCTGATTGCTGTGGGAAGGAAGGATCTCCTACAGCAAATACGAAGAATCTGGCCACAGATACCGATCTGTCCACCCAGATCCAGCTTGCTGTCAGATCCGGCTGGCCTCTCTGTCCTCCTGGGCAGCAGGGCCGCCCGAATGCCCACCAGAACTCCTCCCAGAGCGATGGTCACTCCTCCCAGCAGTCTGCCGAGCTCCTCGTCACTGCGGACAGCCAACTGTAGGTGCTGATGGACGATCCTGTTCTTCTGCTGTCATGAGCCGTGTTTCCTGCTAGTTCCAGGATCTCAGTTTTCAGGCACTTGAGCGCAGCTGACAGGTAGATGAGAATGCGTCCACAGAACATCCTTTTCAACTCATTTGAGATTGGGGGCTGTAGTTGAGATATTATTTGAGCTTTTGAGATGTTAATCAGCTGCTGTTGTTGTAGAAAACTGCCTTGTTGCCATGGTTACGCATCATAACAAATGTCCAAAACTAAAAAAAGTTTCAGTAAAAATCCTTCCAGCTGCACAGCATCTGATACCAGAGGAAACAATCATCCAAAAATATGATTTACATCCAGAAAAAGAGGAACTAAAGTTTCCAAAAGCAAAATCTCAGAATGAAAGTAACAGAGCTGCTCCAACATGCAGCCACCTTGAGCGGCGCAGTTCTAGAACTAATTCTAGAACAAGCAACCAAGTTTCAATATAGACACATCTTTGAACACAAAACAGACAATGTATATATATATATAAAAGCATTATCTTTGTTATGATGCATCACTCTGAATCAATATACTTCATTGTACCTTGAAATAAAATTATATTCATACATATTAATTTTTTGGTATCATATAACTGCATCTGTGGTGGTGTATACTGTAATTCTTTATATTTTAGCAGCAGCCACTAAAGGGCAGTGTGTAACAAAGTGGTCACAGTTTGACTTCTACCTTTGTTTGTCAAAATGTTGTTTCAGGGTTTGACAGTGAGCATAAAACTGTGTTGGGTTGTTAAATCTGCGTGTCCTGCTGCGCTGTTAGTTCTCTTATCAGGTTATTAATCTCAGCTAATGAGTGCCAGCACATGCAAGGGTGAGTAAATGCCCTATAAAAGTGATATTTTCAATGTTAAATTATTTGTCACCGGACAAACTGTGTCCACATTGTGTGTTATGAACCGGGGAACAACTGCAGTTTGAAAGAATAATAGAATTGAGACACAGACATCCAAACTTGAAGAGCAGAAACAGCTGCCATTACGCCTTTTTATGAATCATCATACAGAAAGTAAAGTACAGACTGCTCTGCAATATATATTAAATAGACCAGATAACATAGCTATAGGCTCATTCTGAGCCTTTAGTATTTTTTTGTCCAGTGCTCCGTGTTCCTTTTGCTACTAATGTAATTAAAAAGTTAAGATTTAAAAAAAAAATCTGCGTATTTTTGACATTATCAAACGTGATCTAGGTATAAATGAACTTGCATCATAGTATTTTAGGTAAAAATGGTTACATTTAACATAAAAATAGTGGCTTTAGTGTATTTTATGCCAAAATGTATATAAGAAATAGTTGAATATTTGTTTTTATTTTAACATTTGAAATGCTAAAACTTTCAATAACTGTTATCACTCATCCACCTAACACAATTTTCAATTAAATTTAGTTTTATGTATTTTTTTGGTATATTATGTTCTTTATTTATAGCAGCTTAAGTATTTTTGAACTCATAGGTAGATATTTTTCATTTTCACACAACTTCCTTCATATTTAAACACCTTTCTAATATTAGCATTAAACAATTTGTCAGACAATTATCTTTTCACCTGATTTAAGCAATAAAAACCTGGTTAGAACTCTAAGCACGTATTTCTTTGGGAGGTACTGATTCCTCCCTCTGTCATGTACTTCCTGAGAAATCAAAGCAGTAAAAGAAGTCTGTTAATCAATAATAATATGTCTAGAGGGCAGAGTATATTCCCTGCAGGGGAGTTTACAGCTCAGTTTTTGTCAGCTGAGTTTAGGAAGACACACAATAAGTAAGCCATTATCGCAGCTTTTCTTTGAATTTTGCCATTTGTTTTGCAGTTTCATTCAAAATCTGTTGCACACGAGCGGTCTGAAGTTCTGCTAATCTCTATGAGTGCACGGAGGCATAACCTGAACTCGCATTCCCGCACATTCAGAACACACGAAGCTGTTATTCTCACAGGTGTTTGGATTGAAATGGGCAACTTCTATGTTTTTCAGTGGAAGAAAACGACGTCCAACTCAAAAATGTAACCCAGATCAGTGGGAAAGGCATCGACAACGAGGCTTTTGAATTAGAGGTGCGTATCGCTTTTTCTTTTCGTTTGTCTTGCTGAATGAAAAAAAAAAATACAACACAATAATTGTATTGCTTTGATTTTGTTAGGAGGAGCACACTGAGGACAATAACAGCAACAAAAGTCAGACGAAAAAAGCTAAAAAAGGATTAGGCTCATATCTGAGGTCTGTCAGGTTGAATTTTTATTATTTATTTTGTTTGTTTGTTTGTAGTAATAAAATATATTGTCATACTTCTGGTAAAAGCTCTGCAGCATTTTGCCAATGCAGTCATATTTTAATAATTCACTGTACACTGTGTGCTACTGAATTTGGATTTTACTTTATTTAAAATCAGACTAGGTTCATTTGTCTTGATGCACTGGAAACATGAAGCATTATGAACATTTTGTATGAATCTGGATATTTTACCTTAAAAACTATTATTTGAAATTGCACAACATTTTCTAACCAATAACATAAGCACAATATTTTTTCAAAGCTTGCTCAACATTTGACTTGTTCTGCTTCTCAGTCATGTCTCCAAGCCTCTTAATGTCACAGAGAGTTACATCAAGGCTCACTCAGAAACCCTCAAATACATTGTCCTGGGCATACTGGGAGCAGGTAATGTTTAAAGTCTGCTCTAACAGAAGTTTATTCAAATCAGAGGATTGTGACTAAATGTAACGTTTGTGATCTGCAGGTTATGTGGCATACTTCATTGCAGCCTGTGTGTTGGATTTCCACAGGGCGACCGCCCTCGTAGTCCTCACCTGTTTGGCAGTTGTTGCCAAGTCTTATGAGCTCATCAAGAAATACCAGGGAAAAAACATCAGTCGGTGTTTCAAACCCGCAGTCAGATGCTTCAAATCCAACTTGAAATGGCTCAAATGGTGACTTGAGTTAATGTTTTCTGTTCCACTGGCTTCCTATCGTTTGTTTCGTGGTATTCATTGAAGACTGTGCTGCTTTTGTGTGTGTGTGTGTTTTCAGGGTTTTCATCGTGATAGTGCTGGTCCTGCTTTTGTTGTGGCTCGTCTTAGACACGAGCAAGCGTCCCGAGCAGCTTATCTCATTTGGGGGTGTGTGCATGTTTATTGTGCTTTTATTCCTGTTCTCAGCACACAGGGCGATGGTGAGTTTTACACGGAGTTCAACTCTAATCAAGAATGCATAGCTTCTTATGGGTTGCAGCTGTTTTGAAACGTGTTTGGTTATTATCAGTCCAGTTATCTCGTCTGCTTATCTGACACTTCGGATTTCACTGGGCCTGGTGCCTCTGTCATTTTAAGGTTTATCTGACGTGCTCCTTTGTAATAACATTGTAAATAAGGAAACTCCCTGACTCACTGTTGGTGCCTAATTTTTGGTAGCGATACCTAATACAGTCAGCATGTACCAGGTGCATACCTGGTATTCTTAGTTCCATGGGGTAAATACCTGGTGTGTACTTGATATGTCCCCAGTAAGTACTATGCATTAGGTAAGTACCAGGTGAAAGGTAAGGCACCAGGTACAGTAAATGCTCAATAATTACTAGATATATTCCCAGTAAGTGCCTGACTTGTACAATGTAAGGAACCAAGTACATACCCGATACTCATGGTTCAAAGTATGGGAGGTACAGGAAGAGCTTTACTCCCTCAATCAAGTCTTGTACTCTCCCAAAAGAGGCAAAAAGAAAAGAACGAAAAGTAAAACAGGTGGAGTGTTGAGTTTTATATTCCACATTACCCACAATCCTTCATCACCCACATCCTTTTTTAATTTATTGCTCAAATAAACATGAAAAACTGTACATGATTTCATACTCCTCAACTTGAAATGCTGTTGTTTTTTAATGAGCCCTCATGACGTTAAAACAGGGAAAATGCTAAAATAAATGACTAAATATATGTTTGTTTTGCATGCAATGGCCTTTATACATATAAAAAGTGGAGCCCTCATTGTTTAATATGAATACTGCCAAAACGTACTGGGTAAATACCTGATATGTACAGAGTACATAGCATGTATCACTGCTTTTTCTTCCTTTTCTTTTAGGTATCATGGAGACCAGTGTTTTGGGGTCTGGGGTTGCAGTTCTGTATTGGCCTTTTTGTTATAAGAACACAGCCTGGACTTGTTGCTTTTGACTGGCTTGGAAAACAAGTGCAGGTACAACTTTGAAAAATGTATATAATTTTATTTAATCATAGTCTCAGTGCCATAATAACAAACTTTCAGGTTACAGGTTGTGAGAATAGATTAACTGATAAAATATTAAGTAAAATAGCATGATGAAATGGACACTAAATAGCTAATTTAACGTCATTTATATTATTAGCATCCCAAAGCATTTGAAACACACGTTTTTCCCATTGCAGACTTTATGAGTGTTTCTAATCTACTACAGTCCAGTACTATTTAGCTAAATTGATCATATATGCTTATCTTTAGATCAACTTTATAAGCCATCCAAAGGTTGAGGTAGCAGATTATAAAATTGTGTCTCTTAGTCACTTTTTAAAGTGTAGTTCAACCCACTATCTCAACTGAGCTGTAACGTAATTTCCTGTTGTAAAACATAATAACTTCTTGCTTTAATATTCATGGATTGGTAAAATGAATAATATCTCCCTAAATAATAAAATCAGATTTTTTTTCTCCATATGCTCACAGGTGTTCCTGGACTACACTAAAGCTGGGTCATCATTTGTTTTTGGTAATGACCTGATTGCTGATGTTTTTGCTTTTCAAGTAAGTGTGCACGTGAATTCAAACGCACACAGGTCCCATATGGATCTCGACAGTGTTAAAATGAAGCTTTGTGTTTTCTCCTCAGGCCTTGCCCATTGTTGTGTTCTTCAGCAGCGTGATGTCTGTCCTTTACTTCCTAGGAGTCATGCAGTGGCTCATTTTGAAGGTAAAGCATGCCCATCGTGCTCCTGAAGGTCTGGGTGTGTGCTGCGTTACATGTGCAGTGATATACTGTGATCCGTGTTTTTGTCCACGCAGATCTCATGGGTTATGCAGATAACGATGGGAACCTCTCCCACTGAGACCTTGAGTGTGGCAGGCAATATATTTGTTGGGCAGGTACTCTGCACGAGACTTCATTTCTTGGCAACACTTTGCCACTTTTTTTTAATTCACATAAATGCAGGTGCTTCGTAACTAGAGAAGGCAACTACAAATAGCTGTTAAAAAGTGTTTACACTCAAAGTTACCATGTTTTAAAAAATTGTTTTACATGTGTTTGTGTGCATTAGACTGAAGCGCCACTGTTGATCCGCCCCTATCTGAAGGACATGACCAAATCTGAGATCCATGCTGTTATGACAGGCGGCTTTGCCACGATAGCCGGCAGTGTGATGGGGGCATTCATCTCATTTGGGGTGAGAAAAAGCTGTTGCATACTCTCATATAACATGCACAAACAGGTGCCAAAGTAAAGTCAACTTAAAGAGGTGTGTTGGGCATAAAAGAGCAGCTTCATTTCTTTACTCTTCCCTCCTGCAGGGTTAAAACGACTCCTTAGGCCTCGGACAGCAGGAGGAGTTTTTCTTTAATTAAACACCTGTAGTATTTATAAAACTACAATTGGGTGACAAATAACAAAAACTAAACCAAAAACTTGAAAAAGCTAATAAATAATAATGTCAATTTAATTACCGTATTTTCCAGACTATAAGTGGCTCCGGAGTATTTCATCAGTCCAAAAATGCCTCACGAAGAGGAAAAAACAATAAATAAGTTGCTTTGGAGTGTAAGTCACATTTATTTAGAAGTGTACTTCACAAAGTGCAAGAACAGACATTTAATCTGAAATAACAACAACACAGAGAACATACGTGGGATCATGAACAGACTTAATTAACATCACAAGTCAACGAGTCTAACTAGTAAGTTATCAGTAAATTCACCAATCTCATTCCACATCACTGTTGGGGGCATTTTACTTGAGTTAAGTTTTTCTCAGTTGTCTCTAAGTGAATGTTGGGGTGGGGGGGGGGGGGGGGGGGGTAGCAGTAGAGGAACAACATATGGCTGTCAAAAGCATAGAGGGCCCTCTCGCTGCTGCAAATGGTGATGTTTACACTTTGTTTCATGCCAGTATGAATGAACATTTAACATGTGAGTCAAAAATTACGTCATGAGTATGAAAAAAAAAACGTATATAAGTCGTTTTAAGTTACAGGACTGGCCAAACTATGAAAAAAGTGTGACTTATAGTCTGGAAAATATGGTAGATATGAAATCAAAGTGGGGCATCTTGTGGTCAAATGGCTGAGATGCACACTAAATCACATCACGTCCTGTTACACAGTATTGATTCATTTGGCGGGATAGATAGAATACTGTGTATTTATTACTACAACACTGAGGTAGTATGGAGAAAAAAGTGAAATGACTTTAAAAGATGGTGATGAACATTTTTCAAAGTGCCAGCGAGAAGCGAGATGGCAGCGTGTGTACTGATCAAAGGGCATAAAGTTTAAGTGCAAAACAAGAAAAGTTCTTGTTCAGAACACATTGTTCCCTCCTCCCTAATGGAGACACAGGAGAGTTAGTTTGGGTAAGACCTTTCAACAAGGTCTTGTGGTTTAAAAAACTAAAACTAAATTGCAAAGGGTCATGCCATAGAAATGATAAAATTCTTCAAATCGTTTGATTCTGCTCCAACAACATTGCAAAAATAAAAAATAAAAAAGTTGCCTGTTGGCACATTTAGGTGACTTAAAAGCAACTAAGTCTTTTCACACAAGAAAATATTCTTTTCAGCGGAGGATTGTACTCTATATCTTATCTGACCTTCAGTGGGGCAAAGTTGAAAGGGTGTAAAACTCATGAGGGCTAATATTTGCTGACATCAGTTTATGATACAAATAGCTGCTGAAACTGGGAAACAAAAACATAAAACAGTAAATTAATACAGAATTCAAGGGTCTTTTCATTGTGCAAAACAAATCCTGTGCACTAATGTTGTCTCTAGAATGAATTATTGTTTATATTCTATAGATCGATGCATCTTCCCTGATATCAGCCTCTGTCATGGCTGCTCCTTGTGCTTTGGCCATCTCTAAGCTGTCTTACCCGGAGACCGAGGAGAGTCACTTTACTTCAGAGAAAAATATCAAAGTGGCTTGTGGGTCTGTGTACATCATTTGATTTATTGTAACTGGGTTACATAGTTTTTTTTACCCATTGTTGTTGTTTTAATTTGCCATTTTTTATTAATTTCTAGAGATGAGCAGAACATTTTGGAGGCTGCTAGCAGTGGTGCATCTGCTTCTATAGGTCTTGTTGCTAACATTGCTGCTAATCTCATAGCATTTCTTGCCATACTTGCATTTATAAACCAGGCGTTGAGTTGGCTTGGAGGAATGGTGGGATATCCTGAAATCACTTTTCAGGTAAATGCATGTTTGCATACTGTTTGGTTACTTAAAGCAATAGTGTTTTTTTGTTTTTTTTTAGTTGTGGAAAAGTTTTGAACAATTAACCTTTTATCTGCTGCAGATAACCTCATAAACAGCCTCAGTTAAGAGGAAAATAGTTCAACTTCCGTTGTAGCTCGTGGAACTTCCTGCAGGAATATTTTGATATTTTTTTTGCCAAAGTAATTGTGGAAAGAAAAAAGGGTGGTGATGTAATTAATGTAATTTAAAAAAATGTAATAATATTTGCATGAACTGCTAAGAAATATGAAAATAATGAAATCAACTTTGTTCTTGGACATGCTCGTATTAGCTCAATCAAAATTAAAGTATATATTTTTTTCAAACTGAATACATTTGAAGAGCTATATTTTGTATAACAGCTAATATGTTAATTTTCCTAACCCTTGCATAAAACTTCACTTTAAGAAATATCTGTATTTATTTAAGTTGTAGAATTTAATTTGGCATCTTGAACAAGTATTGAGCCTTGAACCTTTCCACATTTTGTGAAGACAACTCTATCCCTGACCTGTCAGGTGTGTTCCTTGGTCTTCATGATGCTGTTTAATCACTAATGTGCAGTAACAAGCCTCTTCTGACAGCAGTTTGTTGCAGTGAGTTTTAGTGAGAGGTGTCAGTGTAATAAGGGCTGATAACAAATATGAACCAAACTTTTCAGCTTTTTTTTTTTAAGTGTTGAAAACCATGTATCATTTTTCATTCTGCCTAACAATCAAGTGCTACTTTGTGTTGGTTTATCAAATATAATCCCTGTAAAATATTGAGTTTTGTCTGTATCATAGCAAAATGTGGAAAAGTTCAGATTAGATTAATACTTTTTCAAGGCACTGTAATTTACGATTTTGTTTTGCCATTTTTATCAGTAAATTTATTATAACCACTTAGCAGTGGGTCTTTAACCATGTTTGTTTTTGTGTTTGTAGTTAATTTGCTCCTATGTGTTCATGCCTGTGGCCTTCATGATGGGAATACCATATGGTGAGAGTTTCACAGTGGCTGAGCTCATTGGAACTAAGCTCTTTCTCAATGAGTTTGTGGCTTTTGAGAAGTTATCTGAATTAAAAGACAACAGACTTAACGGACTTGATGAAGTGATAGGAGGCAACAGACAGTGGATATCTGTGAGTAAATGTTCTGAGCTGAGTAAGGCCAGTGCTCCTAAACTCACAAGAGCTACGCAAAACTGGACGAGAAATAATTCTGTAATCCAAAAATATAACACGATTTTCTCATTTCAGGTCCGATCAGAAATAATCACAACTTACGCTCTCTGTGGGTTTGCCAATTTCAGCTCACTGGGAATTGTGATTGGAGGCCTATGTGAGTATCATTTCACATGTCATTTTCATGTGTTTTAATCTTATTCTCAAGCAATTCGTCTTTTCTCACAGCTGCTATATGTCCAACAAAAAGAGGCGACATCTCGTCTCTGGTGCTGAGAGCGATGATCACTGGAACTTGTGTTTCTCTGGTCAATGCATGCATTGCTGGTAAAACTGTTTGTTGGTTTCCTCATCTCTTGGGCCTTTTCTAGAGTGAGTTATTAGACTAACCCTTTCTTTGTTTTCCAGGACTTCTCTTCATTCCTCCACTTGACTGTGTACAACTGTTTAAAGAGTCTGCCTTCAATGCCACGGATGGAAGCATTCAAACATGCTGCCAAGACTTATTTGCAAGGTATAAAGTTAAAATTTCTGAAGGCTGAAATACCAAAACAAAATCCCTACATATCCCTTTTCTGTCCTGGTTTTACAACATTAGCATCTGACATGTGAAATGACTTGTTTTGCAGCACCGTAAACAACGGGACCATCTGGTTTGAAGGATCGTGGAGTTCGGTCCCGAACGTCACAGTGTTTTTCTCCAAATGCTGTCAGTGTTGTGGCCTTTCTGATGTGCCTGTTTGTATGTAGCGGTGAACAGTGGTGTTCAAAGTCTCCAAACTTTTATTAACTGAACAAACTTGTTGGGAATCTCTTTAAAAGCTTTTTCAGGGCCTCCTTCTTTTGAGGAGGCAAATATGCCCATGAGTGACTGGTGCTTTTGTCTTAAACTTTATCATGCCAGAAAATGGCACAACAGAGTGGATTCACTTTTAGTCATGCCTATACTGTACAAATTCATTATGTCACTTCTTTTTTTTTTTTTTTTTTCACAATATTAAGCACATTTAAAACCATGCAATAAGAGGATAAATATTTATCCTGAAGAGGCACACATACAACCTATTGGGCCATGTGAACATTTCACTTGCACCTAATGTTTTTTTGCACGAGGCCCAGAGTCTGTTTTAAACCACTATATACAGTATTCGCATTTAATGTAAAAAAATTTTAAAAGGTATATGTTTGTCTTTTTAAAGATTATGGTATCTCTCATGTATTATATGGTTGGTTAATTTAATTTATTTAACGCTGATGATTCACCGGACTCATCATGGGGAAATATTCAGACATGCACGCTTTGGCAAATGTAAATATTTCAAATAAAGAAGAAACTCTGAAATGTTGTGGACAGTTGTAAATAAAAAGTCAGACTTTTACAAACATTTGTGAACAAAATTAATCTGTGGATATTTGATTTTACACGTTTATTTAAAAAATACAGCATCGAGTGACATGGTGTGACATATCAAAGAGCACTTATTGCCAACAGAAATCAGCTCATCCAGCTGTTCACACACTTTTCACAAAGATTTATTAATTTTTTATCAAATGTTTTTTTCTCTCTCTCTTTGACTTTATGTACACATAAAATCAATATGACTTTATGTAGTCATTAAAAAAAACATTTCGACTACCTCTAAAACTTTCCTCCTTTATTTGTCTTTCTGTTAATAATACACCTTCATGTCTTGTGGGAAAATCATTGAACAAGTGAAGTATACAAGTGACTACTCATTTGTACCCTCGTTAATCAATAGCCATGAATTCACTCCAGAAATTCCATGAGAAACAAACAAACTATGACCCATGTTGCTTTATAGACAGGAATATTTTTGCAATTTTTTTTTTTGTCAAGTCTTACTTTAATCCTTGTGTCCACATGCTAACATTTTCACATTTTAATCTATAGATCCCAATTTAGACTAAAGTAAGTTTCTATTGAAGATTAGTTTGGCTTACAGCTGACCAACTCTTCCAAAAACATCAAAACCAGTATTCTTTTCCTGCTGCACTTTCCGGTTAACACAAAACATGTCTTTGGAGATCAACAGGTTCTTAAAACCTCAATCTGCCATTTTTTTTTTGCTGATTTTATTTTAAAATTTAATATCTTAGACGCCACAGACTAAGTTCCCCAAACTCTATATGACTTCATTTTCATGTACTTGTTTAAAAACTTATTGGTAATCCCATTCCAGCTTGTTGATTACCAGTTCTATTTACCGAAATATAATCTGACACCCATCGTAGTAACTAGGAGGGCTCGTTATCTGCTGTAAATAAAGTCAAAAACAAAGTGCACACAAACCTTTTTAATCTAAAACCAGTGCAGCTATTCCATAGCATGAACTTGACTTGTGTAAAGAAATGTTAAATAGGCCATTATGGGCCTAAAAAATAAATATGCAATGTTCACTACTTACTCGTTCAGTGGCTGCAGCCAGGTTCAAGTCATCTTCTATGCTTATTTCAGACCGCACAAAGCTAACATCGCCCTCTGATTTACTTGGCGTATTGCTCAGGCAGAGTTTTGTCCTCTAAAGGAGGTGATAAGACTGAAGCGAATGACTTAGAAGTTTAATCTTAATTCTAAACCTCTTACAACAAAAGCTCTGTCAGTCGATAAAACCTCTCGGTAACGTAGAGACAGAAATTCACAGTAATTGTTTTGACTCTTCAGGTCAACAACCTTATAAAAATAGAGATGACACTATTCATTAGTACCAGAATTTAAAACAATCCTGATTTCCTACCTCATTTCAGGAACAGAAAGAGTTTCTACAGGTTTGGGTTTGCCATCTGATTTACTGTCCTCTGTTTCTTGAACTTTTCTCTTTACCTTTGGGCTAGTATTTGCCTTCCTGGACATCTGAGGGCTGAGTCCTTTTTTCTGAACCTGTGGGCTGCCGATGCTCGTCCTGCGGTTGAGCATGGGGCTTTTGGAGCCTTTTATCTTGGTGGATTGTTGCCCATCTGCAATTTTAAGTGAGCGTAGGCCAAGAAGTCCACAGTAGTAGTTGCACTGATGATGCGTCAGGAACTGATCAAATACTTCAGGGGAACCACGTTCAGTAAGTCCTTGGTATCTGAAAACAGAAGACACAACTCTATTGATGTGCTGTATTTTTAAAGCATGCAAACAGGAAAATGTACACGTGGAGACTGAAATGCAAACCCTTTTGACTTGGTCACAACTTTAACATTTGTAATCTTTGTTTCAACACCTACGGAAATCCAAACAAAACAGTTAGTCTCCGAAATGTATAATTAGAACAAGCGCAGGTAAAACCAGCAATCACAGTCTTTATGTTGATTTTATATATGTGACTTACCCTCAAGCTGAGTAACCAGTAAATTGCCGTGAGTCCACTGATGGATCCAATGCTGGAAGGTGCAGCATTTCTGCTCCAGCTCTGAAATACTTTGTGAAATCAGCTTGCCTTTGGAGTCTATCGTGCAATATTTCACAAAGTCGCCTGTAAGATCAGTCTCCACTGTAGCATACGGAACAGAGTTTGCAGGCCGGTAAATCAGATATCGAGGAATCACTCTGCAAGCATCACAGAATATCAATGGGATGATCACAGGTAATTGTCCTATACTGTATTTTAATAAGTATACAATGTGATATAGGTACTCACTCCAATGAAAAGCCGAAGTTTTCATTAACCCTTGCTTCAGCCGCAAAGATTTTGCAGTATTCTCGGATCATATTTTGAACTTTACATTCCTGCCAAAATAATAAATTCAAATAAGCAGAAGAATGCATTGCAACTGTATTTGCTTGACATCTGTTGAAAGCAATTGAAATTACACTCACTTGCTTTGTAATATCAAGATTTCTCTCTGCAAGGTTGCTCTCCTGTTTGGTCCCATAGGCAATGGGGTTTCGAATTTTGATGATACAAGTACTTCCAGACTCAAAGATGGGATCCAGTCCATAGATCACCTTCACCTTGCATGCTTTGTGAGTGCAACCCTCCCCAACGTGCATCGTCTCAGTTAAAATGCGGCCAAAGTACTTTTCCCCCCAGGTGCCGCTGTCTGCCAGGCCTTTGGTGAACAGCAGTGGGGTCATCTCTATCTCCTCTCCAACTGCAGAAAAACAGAAAAAGAGTTACTATGAACAACATGAAAGTTCACTAAACATAATACGGAAGTTACTAAATATACCTTCCAAGTCATCTTTTAGTAGTATTTCAGACAGAACTGCAAAACACAAACAAAAGAATATTGTTAGTGATAGAAAATACAACATTTCAACTAAATTTAAAAAAGGATTTTGTATCTTACTGTCTTCGCTGAGCAGGTAGTCTGTTGTGTCACTCCCATAATCATTAATGATTGTACAGCCGTATACAGCACAGTCTTGGTTGGATGCAAGAACAATGGCCAGCGCTACTTGGGTTTCATCTCCTCCACTTAAAGACGAAAAAACAAGGAATAACATAAAATCATGAACACCTAACACCTGAGGGGCATGTCTGAAGTGAAAGTACACCAACTAGCCACAGGGTGCCACTGTGCTAAAGATGGTCACGCTCTGTGAGAGCCACCTGCTGACACAGCAACCATTAGCACATTTATAGACTTTTAATACACCCTGGAGATGGGAAAATATTGTGTCAGGTTACACTTGATGTGTCTAGCCAGAGATTCACCTCTCTGTGTCACAGCTGTGGAGTACACAGTCCCATGAGCAGGCCGTCTCTGCAGTGAGAACGACAGAGGACCATCTGATGTACTCTGAGACCCACATAAATAGTTTTTGCTTCATTGTTCATTTATTGTCCAAGTAATGCCCAAGAAAAAAGTGAAATGTGTTAATAATTGAAGCCAGCATGTGGTTAGATTACTGGTGACTTATCAGTAATTGGGAATTTACCTTCTTTTAACCTCTAGTATTTCCTCCTCATCTTTTAACCATTTAATGGTGGAGTCACTGAGCACATTGAAGAACTGGCACCACAGCTTCAGGTGTCCGGAAGCGTCTGGGAATGGCTCTCCTCGGATCTTACGAATAACCTGAGGAGCTGGGGGTGAATTGTGGTGAAGGAAGTCAGGAAGGCTGACAGGATCAACATGTTTGTTCTCGCAATTTGAGACAAAACAATAAAAAATATATATATTGATTACCTTTCAAAGGGTCTGTTTTCTTTCCAGATGGTTTCTCATCTTCCTTGGTGCCAGCTGGCTCTCCTGTAAGAACCTCATCTCCAACCTTTGGCACCTCCAAGGTGGCCTTTCTGCGACTCATCAGAGGAGAGCGCCTCTCGACAGGTGGGGTTTTTTGTCCTGTGGTCGTCTGTAGCAGTGCTGCTCTGCGAGCCTGGCTGGGTGACTTATAGGGGTTCTCCTTCTTGCCTTCTAGGACACCGACCAATGCTCCCTCTATTTCTTCTTTGCTCCTAGGCAGAAAGATTTTGCGCCGAGCTCCAGAGGCCAACTCCTCAGGTGTGGCGGACCGGATGAGCGTCAGACTGTCTCTGCGTTTGAGTCGGGGACTGCTTTCACATGAAAGGGACGATGTTGGCGTCGAACCGCCACTGAGATCTTCATCTGCCTTGTCACTCTGATGATCGTCCACAGAGATTACAGGAACACTGTTCATTGTCTCATTGTCCAAATCCGTAGCTGCTTTGGACATAAACTTGCGAAGACTGGATGGACTTAGTGAGGGATATGTTGGGGGTTTGGAGCTGAGTCTCTCAACAGAGGGTCTGCTTTTTAGGAAATCTTCAACAGATGAAGGATTCTTGGCATCTTTGATTGATTTCAGCTTCAAGGTTTCCGGGACAGTGTTTTCTTCTGTTGGTTTGCTAGGTGTTGGCACATTCTCACCAACCTTTGGTGTCAGAGTTTCACATAGCGCAGCTGGTGTGTTCTCTTTTGTACTCTTTTCAGCTATTTCCTCAAAGTCTTGACTTCTTTCAGGCATTTCGAGCTTCATGCTCATGCTATTCTCAGCACTCTGCTTTGTCCCCCTTTGCATGCCAGCGGAAGTTTCTGTTTCTGTCGTCTCGCTGGGAGTGGGCAGCTTAAGCTCTGCATCGCTTTCAGGACAAGTGACAGAAATCGGAGGAACCACAAACAGAGATTCCCTTAGAGTCTCAGAAGCATGCTCAGTACACGAACCATTGGAGATGCTACCCTCCAGGTCATCGGTACAGGAAACATTTATAACTGGAATTACTGTATATTCCGTCTGAGCGAGCAAATGGCTTTGTGGCTGCTCAAGCATTTCTTGAGCAACTTTTTCTGTAGGTAAAAGGTCATCATTATTCCGCATTTCGCTCAGTGTGGGGAATGATCCTGAAAACTCTGCTTTGCTCTCGTCTTGAAGAATTGCCTTTGATTCATCAGTTGCATAATGTTTTTGCAAATCGTGTGGTTCTGGCTTGTTTAGTGCCAAAATGCTTAGAGGCAAAGAGCATTCTTTAAGCTCAGGCTCCAGTATTTCAATTTTGGGGATTATAAATTCTTCAACCGAGCTCAAATCTGTCATTGATGGTCTGATATTTGACATGTCTTCAGCAGTAGATATTTGGCTTATTGGGATAGTACTCGTGCAAGAACCCTGCTCATCACTCCAACTTTTCTTACTAGCATTGTTTTCATTACTTTGTGTTACTTCAAGTGCAATCGACTCATCTAACACCTCCACATTCCCTGAAGTCTTCTTTTCAGGCTCCGACTCTAATTGTAAACTCTTTTGTTCATCTTCATTCTTCAAAGCTTGTACTTTTACACCTGTGAATACATTCACCTCCAGATCTTCCTCTAAGGCAGATTTCATTGTGTCTTTTGATTCACACTTCTCCTCGCTGAGTTTAAAAGACGTGTTTAAACTCTGCTTTGCTTTACTATTGTTCAACGTTGTTACTTTCCCAACTACAGAAGTGTGTTCACGTTGCATTTTTAGGTCACCCGTCTCTAACGTCCCTGAGACTTCAGTGGGAGGAAATCCTGCATTCATTTCCTGAATCAGTGAGGTACATTTGGTCTCCTCCTTTACTCGAGCTTTCTCAGCACCACATGCTTCCACCGCAGCAGGAGGTGAAAGCACCTGATCCGGCGTTATAGAATCACACGGGTCAAATCTGTCTTCTAGTGAACACGCTGATATTTTAGTAATCTCAGATCTGTTTATATCCGAAAGTGGCTCTTGGTTTACTCTCACTTCAACTTTCTCTTCCTTAGATAACCTACAGGAGGAGCGACCAGCTTCTCTGCCAGGTTCCCCTATTTTGCTCGTTGTAACACTTAGCTCCTTCTTTTGCAAAGTTTCATTGAGCTCTATTCCAATATGACTATCTGTTGCAGAGATAACACCATGAGGTGGAATCCAGCTATCGTCTAACTTTGTAAAGGTGGGTGGGAGGGAGCATTCTACATTAGCAGGGGCCTGGCTTTGTGGTATATTTGATTTATCTTCCTCTCTGTCACCCTGTTGTAAAACTAGCAGGTGATCTGACTCCAGATGTTGTATCACACCCTCTTGGAGGACAGGAACTGCTTCTGAGTTTACCTGATAAAAAGCAACAAAACAACATATAATGTTTAGTACATTACTCAGTTCGACATCTCAGCATTCATAAACACATTGATTATTATTAAGTATTCATTCATGCCCATGTGCTCACAACAGACTCATGTTTTGGCTGCTGTTGTTACGCCATATTGTTTTACATTACAGTATTCGTGTTTAGCGTATATCTGAGATCTTTTAGCATACCGTTAGGCATTTGTTTAGTGTATATCTTAGTGTACATCTTAGATCCTTATATACATTTTCTTTTTATAAATGTATATTTTTGCTATTTTTGGGTGTAATTGGGACCCCGAGTACATAATTTTGTTCCATCTCATGTACAACATGTGATGCGAATGACAATAAACTTGAACTTGATTTTTTTTTTTTACCTCCATGAGTTCATGTAATTGCTGGTGTCTGTGTGTGTGTGTTTTGTCTGTTTATGTGCAAATATCTCAGGAACCACTGGATACATTTGAATGAAACCCTCAGAAAATAATCACTGGCTGTACAGATTGACTTGATCTACAATATTCACCACATTTAATCAACCTTAGCAAACACAAAAATTAATACAACTTTGTCAGTTTCAAAGATACTGATCTAAAGGTGGGTGATATGCATTCCTTGTGATTCAATATGCATTATGCTAGTTTCATAATTATTCATAATTCATTATTATTCTAGTTTCATGGGCAGCTGTGGCTAAGTGGTTAGAGCAGTCGTCCTCCAATGCAAGAGTACGAGGTTCAATTCCACCAGCAGTCACATGCTGAAGTGTCCCTGGGCAAGACACTGAACCCCTCATGTGTGTCCCATCGGTGTATGAATGTGATCTAAAGCACAGATTTATCTTTGTAGAGATCTAGTAGAGTGCTGTATGAATGGGTAAATGAGGTCACAGATCATGTTGTAAAGCTCCTTGAATATCTCGATAAGATAGAAAGTCGCTATGAGTACAGTCCATTTACCATTCCATTCATTTGCAGCTGACTGGAATCATTAGGAAAGCAAAACATTTATCCACTTTAATAAATCGTGTTTAAAAAAAACCTCAACACAAAAAACAAGCAAAACACAGTATTTTAGTCCCATTTCAAGATTTGATAGTGATTTTAAGGAGCTCATTTACAGAATGTATATTAATATGAATTATATTGTACATTAACCATTCATAGTGTGACACATTCATCCAAGTATTTTGACAGAAGCACGGACACCAACAAATCCTGTCACATTTCAGTAGTTTTATATTCCCAACAGATAGGATGATACTGTGTTTGGGAGAGTTAAAAAAACTATTTAATCATTAGGTAATTAAATAGTAAACAGTCCATAAATATGTGTGATGACTTCAGTCGGCCAATAAACTCCTCTGCTTTATTACCTGTCAGTTTATTCCAAGAAGCTTGTTAACTTCCTGCCACATGCGTGACGGCTGAAACCGAGTGTTTATACACACGGAAGGATCCAGTGAAATGCTTAGAAGTTTGAACAAACAAGTCGTTTTCTTTCCGGGGTATTTCGTCTACGTATACAGATGTGTTACCTCTAATTTCAGCAGCTGAATACAAAATGTGACAGTTGCAGAGCCCAAAGGCGTTGTGTGGTCACCAGCTTTGGAGACAAACCAGGGAATTCCCCTCATGATTGAGAAAGGTGTGTTGTTTCCACAAAGTATTTGCTGAGTAGTGAATGAATGACATTGATTCATGAAAAACAAAAATATTTTCTGCTCTATTTTCTCTCTTTCTAAAGTGTTGGGAAAATAACCTGTAACTTCACAATATCATTTGCCTTTAAAAAAAGACATTTTCTAGGTGAATCATTACAGTTTTTACTCCTATAGGTCAAACTGCTTAATGTAAATGTGTTGGTTTTTCTGTTCTTGTGGTGCTTGCGTTTGATTTTCATGTCTTTCGGTTTTAAATTGAGGGGTTGTTCAGGCACATGCCTTCTCTTGACAGCATTTGGCCAGCGGTCATGTTGAGTATTATGAAAACAAGAAGTTGCTTTCACTGGAAGGAATTCAGTCTAAAATTGAAGCCCTGGTTTGACTCCCACCCTGTGTGTAAATAGGGTGAGACGACATTGTTCATTTTCAACTTCCTCCAATTACTCATCTGTTGTAGTTCCAGGTTTTGAATGTTAGATCACTCTGCAAGTGGCTCAATAAACACATTTACTCCAGTTCCCTGCTCCACAAGACCTGACACAATAATTCACGCGTTATTTGGCAAACACAGCACTTCATAAACTCTCATTTGATGCGTCACTTTTATTAGCGTGTTCCTCTAGCTTAAAATATCTTAAATCAGTGCACGTTATCACTGCTACTTGCAACTTTCAAAACTTTGAACTGACAGCTCAGATCTTATGAAGCTGGGTTCTGTGGAAAGGCTATGAATAATTACCATCTTACCTGTTGTAGATAGCTCTTTGAACAAGAAATAGGTTAATTCTGACTGGTTTGAAGAGTTGTCAGTTTTGCATTGCATGGTTATTATAACAAATATGATCTTCCTGCTGGGCTGGGCTACACCAAAAGTGCTACAGCTAGCTGCAACTACTTGCAAATAACCATAGAATCCTGGTATGTGTCGTGTAATGAGGAACAGATGGCATTGTAAAAAATTACAAGATATTTTTTCCATGAAAAGTTATTACACATTAAAATGCCAGCAGTTTTGATACTTGGCCTGTTGGCTTATCAATCCAGACAGAAATAAACTCTGTTTCACCAATCTGAAAATGCTCTTAAAGCTATCTACACCAGGCGAGATATTAACTAGTCATCACCTTTCCACAAAACCCTGCTTAAAAACAAACAAACAAACAAACTATTACCTTAACCAAACAAAGTGGAAAAATTAAAATATATATATATATAGTGTAACTTTTGACACATTTGACTTAATTCAAAATTTAGAATGATTAAATAATAACCATATGTCTATTATATCTCATTATTATTTAGGTGAATATAACTTTATTTAACATTAAAAAAAAAATGTCAGTATTAAACTTAAACTGCACCATTGTGGGTGATGGTGGGAGAATGAATCATGAAAGAAAAAAAATCTTAAATTGATATTGAACATTCTAGAGAAACTTAAAATCTGCATGAACTGAAACATGGCAATGTTTTGACAGACATGAAACAATTCTCTGAGGTGTAAAGTAAGACGACCAAAGTACCGCTGCCCAGCTTCTTCTGTCGATGAGGAGAAGGTTTATTTTAAGATACTGAAGGGGGGGCAGTGAGGAATCTGTCCAGTGTGACAAGGCCCTCCTTTCATGCTGAAACCTGCATCAGGATTCTCTATTACAGCTTATCCAACCTGTCCGGCCGTCTGTCAGCCTGTTTGTAATGCGAGAGAGCCATTTGTGACATTCAAGTTTCATCATAATCTCTGACGCACCAGTGTTCCTCTCATGACAGCCACCATCTAAATTATTTCATGTCCAATCTCACAGTGGGCATTTTAGAGTCGCAATATCCCCCACCCCCACATTCATCTACATTTTAAGTTCCCTATTTCCTCTGCGCTGACTTTCTTCTGACTGTCACTGGCTCTAGGCTGACTCACTTCAGCAGTTTCAGATCACTGATATTACACCGAATGTTTTGAAGTATCGTTCCGTTGTTTCACGCCGTTCAGTAAAAACAACAATCATCATGCACATCTTTGTCAGCAGCAAAATCTCAAAGCCGTGCATCATGGTTGTTGTAGTTCAGACATCAGACATGCAGCAAACAAAACTATCACTGTGAAACAGCAGCTATCAGCCTTGGGAGGCCAGTCTACTTACCTCATAGTGAACTTGAAGCTCAGATGATGTCACTTCCTCTGCAATGCTGCTCTCTGGCCCTATAGAGACCTCCATGGCCTCCACAGCCTCATCCCTCTCCACCTTACTTTTTGCTGCAGATTCCTCTTTGGTTTTAGGAAACAGTACACACTGTGGTTGGAGATGTGTGTGCACAGCCCTGTCTTCACTGTTATGTTTAAGTGGCTCCAGTGATGCTGACTGCTGCTCCATGTCCATAGTTTCTATGTGCTCCTGAGTTTTATCCACAGGTTGAGTCTCCTCTGTGAGTAGTTTGCACACCTCTGGATTATTACCTTCCACTTGCAGCTGAAATGATGGCGGCATGTCTGACTTAGGTGGCTGCGCTGTTGAGTCTGAGGGACCAAAATCTCTGTCTTCACTGTCAGTGTGACTGTGAGAGTCTTTCTTACTCTTCCCAAAGAAGAAGTCTTTAACTGTGTGCAGCATAGAGGAGATGGATGTTTGAATGTGGTCCTTGTGCTCCTTCTTATGAGCTTTGTCGGGATGTTTGACTTCTGAACTCTGTTTACCATGAGCTGCTGGGTGCTTCACTTCCAATTGCCTTTCTCTAGCCCTCTCTCTTTCTACAGCTAATTCCTCTTCTCGTTTCTTCTCTTTTTCATGCTCTTTCAGCTTGTCTTGCATCTCCTCTGTGTCTTTTTCTTTATCATCGCCTACCGTAGCCGTTTCCATCTCTTGAGGTTTTTCTTCTTGAGGTGAGATCTGAGTCTCCTCAGCTGCTTGAGACTGGAGAGTCTCTGCCAAAAACTGTGCCAAGCTGATTCCTCCATCGTAACAGTTTTCACCTCCGTTCCCTGTGATATGGCTTCTGCTACTGCTGCTGTTATTAGCATCTAAACCGTTTGACATCTTGATTCTCTTTTTGGCCAACATTTCCTCTGACGCAGCTTCATTCTCCAAAGGACTGTTCATAGATGTCAAATCCCTTTTATCTTTCACTCCTGAGTTAACTGCATTAGCAGCCAGAGCACCTTTTGGCTGCTCTACAGCCACAGACTTGTTGACCTGTGCTTCCTTCTCCGTTGGTGGGACGGAGCGTTTTCTCTGAGGTTGTTCTGGGCTACTCCTCCGTTCTCCTGTTTTTATATTTTCTTTACCTTCTTTCTTCTCCTCCAAGTCTCTTTTCTTCTTCTCGGCCTTCTGCTTCAGCTTTTCAAAGAACCGCTGATGGATCTTGTACTCATTCATGGTACCAACCTCCAAAACGCCAGAGCAGGAGACGATACCTTTGCAGTTGGTGGCTGAGACCTGATAGATAGCTGCATCGTCCAAAGTGCAGCTGAAAAGAAAGGGGAACAAATCATCTCGTTTTAAAGATAATCTGACAAATTTATAAAACAAACACATAAAGCTACATTTCTATTTCTTTTAATAGATGTAATATATGATTATTGCAAGTTTCTATACATACTTGTAAATATGGAGCGTATGCGTTTTGCCATTGCGATGAATTTCATATTTAGGAAGTCCACAGTAGCGATCCATTTCCATATCATCTTTATACCATTTCAGTTCTGGAACAGGGTAACCTACAGACATATGTGCACAACAATTACTTCATTTCATTTTGTAAATACATTTTAAACTCTGGGCAGCACGGTGGCACAGTTGGTAGAACTGTTGCCTCTCAGCGAGAAGGTTGCTAGATCAAATCCTGGCCGGGGAACTTTCTGGGGGGAGTTTGTATGTTCTCTCCGGGCACTCCGGTTTCCTCCCACAGACCAAAAACATGCATGTTAGGCTAATTGGTAACTTTAAATAGTCCCTAGGTGTGAGTGAGAGAGTGAACAGTCGTTTGTCTCTATGTGTCCCTGTGATGGACTGGAGACCTGCCCAGGCTGTACACTGCCTCTCACACAGTGACTGCTGGATATAGCACCAGTGACCAGTGTCTACATTTTTGTATGTTAGTACAATGTAATTGTTAATTTATTTTGTATTTTGTATTTTGTAAGTGTATTGAACAGTTCAAAATTTATCCGATGCTTTTATGTGAATAAATGTACGACAAACTTTGTACAACCGTTGGCTTTGTATTAAAACTGTTATAAAACAGTGTCAAAGCAAACATGTTCAACTATTAAGTAATAAGTACAAAAGTATGAATGATACAAAAAACAGATCGAACCAACTCATTGTGTTTATAAAATGTTCCAAATGTGTTGACAATGATACATGACATGGGCTTGTATCATTGGGCATTTTTAAGTGGGTATACTGAAATTTCCCAAGCTTTTTTAGTGGGTATACTCCGTATGCCAACGTATCAGATAGACTGCACCAGTACCAGCGACCCCCGCAACCCGAAAAGGAAGAAACGGGTAACGATAATGGATGGATTTTAAACTCTTAACACCACAAAAGTGCTATTTTTCATCCATTTATCCATTACAGTTTAAACCAGTTATCAGTGGTAGGATTGTGGAAGCAACAGATCTAGTGCAGAAATCCATAAATCCCTCTTTCTAGCAACACTCTCTAGTTCCTCTTGGGGCATCACAATGTTCCCAGGCCAGAGAGGCTATAAGATTGCTCCAGCAAGTTCTAGATATGCCCTGCTGTCTCCTCCCACCTCAGCTGGCTTTGTTCAATGAGGAGGAGCAGCAACACTATTCCAAGCTCTGTCTAGACGAAGGAGCTTCTGACCATAATTATGGACTGTTTTGATCAGTTGGTCCCTCAACTCAATTTACAACATTTCTTCAAAGAGAAGACAGGCTTTAGGCGAGCCGATTTGCCCTGTTGGCACACACACAGCTGGATATCTCATCGACTGGAAGACTTGATGATGTGTCTATCTCTGCTGCCATTTGTGGATTTTAAGGACACATATTTAATTGGATTTTCGATAACTGGTTCCTGCTTTTTGGATTTGGCTGGTTGCTGGTTTTATCTACAATCAAGGAAGTCGTCGGCAGCAAATTTGGACCCGATCATGCTGCTCGCCTTTATGATGGCTTGGTTCGTGTCTCGAGTACCCAGACTCAAATGCTTTGGGTTGAATGGATTAAATCTTGGGGCTTTTGCTCAGTCACGTTCCATCAGTGTGGCCATGTATTTTGGACATTTCGGAACCGAGTGTGATCTGACGCTCACCACCCCCTCCATGAGGAATTTTCAACTGATAACCAAATGAATCCAGCTGAATAAACTTTGTGTCATCATTTCAGGACTCTTGGATTCTCATAGACGTTATTCTTGGCTATTCCTTGACATACCTCGAGAATGTTTATGGATCTCACCGGAGGACATGGACTGATTATCTTATCAGAACTCTTACAGTGACCTCGAGAGCATCTATAAGCATTGTTGACCGCTCTCGTCTCCGTTTGCAGAATGTCTACGTCACTATGTGCTGTTTGTGCGAGGTATTTTTTTTTAATATTAGAGGGTTTTTTTTCTCAGGCAAAAAAAAAAAGTCTGATATGAATTTTTTTTTTTGCCTCCAACTCCTACATGTGTCCAGTTAACCACTGTTTTTGTCTGTCCAAACAGGTCTCACTTGTAAATGAGTCTTCGAGGCTCAATGTGATTTATCTGTTTAAATAAAGGTTGAATGAATGAATGAATTGTTTGGGTGGGTCTGCAGTAGCTGTTACTGCTTGGTACATCCTAAACATGATGCAACAGCATCAACCTCTCTAACATCACCATCCAAATACTACTTGAACTAATATTGTGTCGACATGATTTTTTATAAGAGCATGTGTTGCACAGGTGATTTAAAAACTGCATAATGAAATAGTAACAACAACATCAAACTATCAGGGTGCTTTGTTCACAAGTGATAGTAGGATGGAGTGGCAAATGGATTGGGGCTTTGTGTGCAGTAATGAAAATGTTGCTCCAGTCCATTGAGTTAAGGAAAGAGCTAAGCTGAAAGGCATAATTCTTGTTTTCCTTGTTAATCTATGTTTCAACACTCACCTATGGTCAAAATGTATAAAATCATGACAGAAAGAGTAAGATCTTGAATATACGTAGCTGAAATTCACAGGGTGGCCGGGCTCAGTCTTAGCGATAAGGTTAGGAAGAAATGCAAGCGTCTCACAGCAGTTTCACAGACAGACAGAGCAGCAAAGCAAAGCAGAGAGGGAAGGGAGAAGCATCCAATCTCATCGAGAGCAAGTGGTGAAGTGATCAATCATGCTTGCAATTAAAATAGTTCTTGAAAGACCAGCCTAACACACAATACAACCTGTACTGTACAAGAACCAACTCAGCCAGAGACGTTAATTTGGTTCCTACTAAGTAAAACCCTCCCTTTGTTTTTAAATTAGTCATGTCTTAGTCTGCAAAGCTGTTTAACCTGAGAGGCTACTCGAACAAACTGGGCCTACCTGATACCACACAGGTGAATTTGACGTTACAGTTTTCAGACACGGCCTTTGATTTCAGCGTGGTCTCAAATGATGGTTGTATGTCCTCTGTGAGCTGAGCCATGACGCTGCACAACGTGCTCCTGGAAAGAGACACAAATGTATTAGTGTCTGAGACAGCCATAACCCATCATTTCATTCATCTCGGTGACATATTCATCTTGGTGCAGCACATTCAAGTAAGGTTCTTGAACAAGATGTTAATGGGAGTTTCTAGTAGTGACGACGTTGTGAAAAAGTGACACAGAAACTTGTGAGATGTCAAGCAAAACATTGTTGTCAATCCATCCCTTAAACCAATGTAGACCACTTTAGAAAGTCACTAAAGACACTACTGGACGTTACAGTTAAAATGTGTGATGGTTTCATTATTGGGATAAACCAATTTTACTGTATATGGTTAACGTGTTAGTTAAGAGGAGTGTTTTAAAACTGGGATTACCTCGACGGCCTGTATTGAGAATACCTTGAATAGCTATTTAGAAAGGAGGCAAATGGAGGAACGTCAGTGAATAAATAAAATCTGTAGCAATGGAACCCACCTGACCATAACTGTGTCATAACTTTCATCCTCATACAAAAAAACTAACACTTTGTCATCCTTATAATTTGTGGATTATGAACTGACACTGTCGCAGAAATCTTTGACTGTTCATTTCTGCTTTTATGGAAAAAGTATAGGACTGATTTAACTTGACCTGCTGAGGTGCTTTTATTTTAAACTTTTTTGTAATGTGAGACTTTTAAAGAACAAAACATCTGCACAACAAACAAACTGAGATGGGCGGTACCTACCTGTTTTCAGGCCTAACGTTTGACAGATAAGTATTGCGGCTTTCTGAACGGCCATTAGAAGAGCTGCCCTCCTCCTCACTAAAGCTGCTTGTTCTCCCATTGCCAGAAAATGAGCGAGTCATTGGCCTCCTGGAAGTCATTGTCCACTAAGGTGATCCACAAAAATGTATAAAATCCCAGACAGTTGTATCAGCTGCTGTGGAAAAACAAGGAGGTTTAAAGGTAATGGTAAAAGCTCCCATACAATTAAAATTAAACACTTCAGAATTATGACAAAACCTGTGAGAAATTATTAAAGAATGCATAAAATCCACATGGGGTTAGTTGCTCATAAACAACTCAGACAGAAAGTTCAGACTAAACGTCCTTTCTGATCAAGCACAGCTCTTGGATTGGAGCAAGATATAAATAGTATCTGCTATCAGCTTGTGGAAGAACCGTTAGTGGTTAAACACAAACATAAATCTGTTATTCACTTGTTCGCAACAAGATCATGGCTGAAGGGTTTCTTCGTCACCTTAAAGCAAGTTATATTGTCTAGCTTACCATTAAGATGTTGTCAGTGGTGCTTTGGAGCCAGAGTCTGCGAGGAAAATCTGTAACCGCCTATCATAGACATGCATGTGTTGCCAGCAGGACCCTATTTATAGCAGGACCACAAATAGGTGCAAGAGCACATAAGATTTTCCGAAACTAGACTTTAGACTTTCCAAAGAAGTTAAAATCAAACATTATATTATTTGAACCTGAACATGTTTATTACATGTAACTCCCTTTTTTTTTATTATTATCAAAGGTCATAATAAAATAATATAAATCAATTTGTCTAAGCTGGTTGGAAAACATATTTACCTTCCATACACGCTTAAAGGTGGACTTGGAAAACATGTCAGTGAAATATGGTTTATAATCTAGCTAATGACAGTGAAGTGTTTATGTCCTAAGCTTTTCTAGGAGTTATTGGACAACTCTCCTCCCTTCATATTGCGACACATGGTCACATCCTATGACTCTTTTATTGCTCACTGTTACACTACTGTCATAAAAACATTACTACTAATCCAGATTTTTTTAATTTATTTAAATATGTGCATCACCATTTTTTTCCACATGGTTTTACTTTTTTCTGCAGTTGCATTATGAGAAAGTTCTCTGGAATAAAACTGAGTTAAATTCAACCTTTCTAAAAGTTGTTGCTACTATATTTCTTGGCCATGGTGCTCTGAAAAAAAGGTTCTCTTTAATCAAAGTTTCTTTAACTAACAATCACAACTATACTTACAGTGCATTTGTTTAATTGTAATGACTGTAAACAGTTAAACAGCCCATTATTTAGACTAGAAGTAATCTGTGTACAGGTACAGTGAGGAAAACAAGTATTTGAACACCCTGCGACTTTGCAAGTTCTCCCACTTAGAAATCATGGAGGGGTCTGAAATTTTCATCTTAGGTGCATGCCCACTGTGAGAGACATAATCTAAAATAAAAATCCAGAAATCTCAATGTATGATTTTTAAAATAATTTATTTGTGTGTTACTGCTGCAAATAAGTATTTGAACACCTTTGAAAATCAATGTTAATATTTGGTACAGTAGTCTTTGTTTGCAGTTACAGAGGTCAAATGTTTCCTGTAGTTTTTCAGCAGGTGTGCACACACTGCAGCAGAGATTTTGGTCCATTCCTCCACACAGATCTTCTCTAGATCAGCCAGGTTTCTGGGCTGTCACTGAGAAACACTGAGTTTGAGCTCCCTCCAAAGATTTTCTATAGGGTTTAGGTCTGGAGACTGGCTTGGCCACTCCAGAACCTTGATATGCTTCTTACGGAGCCACTCCTTGGTTCTCCTGGCTGCGTGCTTCGGGTCATTGTCATGTTGGAAGACCCAGCACGACCCATCTTCAATGCTCTAACTGAGGGAAGGAGGTTGTTCCCCAAAATCTCGTAATACATGGCCCCGGTCATCCTCTCCTTAATACAGTGCAGTCGTCCTGTCCCATGTACAGAAAAACACCCCCAAAGCATGATGCTTCCACCCCCATGCGTCACAGTAGGGATGGTGTTTTTGGGATGGTACTCATCATTCTTTGTCCTCCAAACACGGCGAGTGGAATTAAGACCAAAAAGTTCTATTTTGGTCTCATCGGACCACAGAACTTTCTCCCATGACTCCTCTGGATCATCCAAATGGTCATGGACAAACTTAAGACGGGTCTGGACGTGTGCTGATTTAAGCAGGGGAACCTTCCATGTCATGCATGATTTTAAACTATGACGTCTTAGTGTATTACCCACAGTAACCTTGGGACCAGTGGTGCCAGCTCTCTTCAGGTCATTGACCAGCTCCTCCCGTGTAGTTCTGGTCTGATTCCTCACCTTTCTTAGGATCACTGATACGCCACGAGGTGAGATCTTGCATGGAGCCCCAGTCCGAGGGAGATAAACAGTCATGTTTAGTTTCTTCCATTTTCTAATAATTGCTCCAACAGTTGATCTTTTTTCACCAAGCTGCTTGGCAATTGTCCCGTAGCCCTTTCCAGCCTTGTGGAGGTCTACAATTTTGTCTCTGGTGGCTTTGGACAGCTCTTTGGTCTTAGCCATGTTAATAGTTTCAGTCTTACTGATTGTGTGGGGTGGACAGGTGTCTTTATGCAGCTAACGACCTCAAAAAGCTGCTTCTAATTTAGAATAATAAGTGGAGGTGGACTTTTTAGAGGCGGACCAACAGGTCTTTGAGGGCCAGAATCGTTGCTGATTGGCAGGTGTTCAAATACTTATTTGCAGCAGTAACACACAAATAAATTATAAAAAAATCTTACATTGTGATTTCCGGATTTTTTTTTTTTATAGATTATGTCTCTCACAGTGGACATGCACCTAAGATGAAAATTTCAGACCCCTCCATGATTTCTAAGTGGGAGAACTTGCAAAGTCGCAGGTTGTTCAAATACTTATTTTCCTCACTGTATATAACTGATAGAGTGTAAATTAGGAGAAAACCCATATGGATTAAAAACGTTTCAACATCAGGTCAATTGAGAATAGAAAATCCTCATCTCTCTAAATGATATAGATCAAATACAAGGTCAAGAATGTTGACTATCAATTTATGTAGTGGCTTATATATATATATATATATATATATATATATATATATATAT